ACGATTTAACTCACATCATAATAGGAATTAAAAACGAATTCAAAGAATTATGATATATGGTTTGATTATGCACGATTAGAAGAGAATGCAGGTGATTCACAGAAAGTTCGAGAAATTTATGAGCGAGCAATTGCACAAATGCCGCCAACACAAGAAAAAAGATTTTGGCGACGATATATTTATTTATGGATTTACTACGCTCTTTATGAGGAACTCGAAACGATGGTAGGTTTGGTATGGTTATTACTATTTAATAATTCGATGTTAATTTACTTTCTGCACCCAAATGCATATATAGGATTATGAACGGACAAGACAAATATATCAAGAATGTATTAAATTGATCCCTCATAAGAAATTCACATTTGCGAAAATGTGGTTACTTTACGCTCAATTTGAGGTACGGCAATTGAATTTACAAGCTGCCAGGAAGACTCTGGGAAATGCCATAGGTAGCTTTGAACCTTCGCTATGTTATTTTAATGCATTGAGCAACATAATGCATTTTTAATCATTCATATCGTTCTTTTATTATAGGCATTTGTCCAAAAGACAAGCTTTTTAAAGGATACATCGAATTAGAGTTGCAGGTATAATAAGTTTATTGTTAGAATGCTTATATTAAGTAATTAAAATCACTGACTTTGTTATGATTACTATTCGAAGTTGCGGGAATTTGATCGTTGTAGAATTTTATACACAAAATATTTGGAACATAATCCAGCCAATTGTTATGCATGGATAAAATTTGCAGAACTAGAAAGAATGCTAGGAGATTATGATCGCTGCCGTGCAATTTTCGAGCTTGCTGTTGAACAACCTATACTGGACATGCCGGAATTATTATGGAAAGCTTATATCGACTTCGAATTTTCTGAAGAAGAATTCAACAAAACAAGACTGTTATATGAAAGATTGTTGGAAAAAACCGGTCACGTTAAAGTTTGGATTAGTTTTGCTCAATTTGAATTAAATGCTGATGAAGGAAATCGTGAAATAGCTGTTGAACGAGCTCGTAAAGTGTTCGAGAAAGCCTATGCCAGTATGAAAGAGAAAGAATTAAAAGAAGAGGTAAAGTCACAGATGTAATATATATTCGCCTCAGATTCAAACCGTTGTTTATTTTTGTTTTGTAGCGCGTTCTACTTCTTGAATCGTGCATAATCAAACCATATATCATAATTCTTTGAATTCGTTTTTAATTCCTATTATGATGTGAGTTAAATCGT